GAGTTACGTACATGAAAATGTGGAAGTCATGCACTCCTACAGCATGATACTTTAGTTTGTGTTTTGCAGCTACTTCTCATGCTTCACAAAGATGGCTTTGATCTGCTCCACTGAAGTTTTTGTTAAAGAGCTGACTCCGGTTTCGGTCTCTCCACAGTTCTTATTTGCTACACTCACACCAAGCAGGAAATGCAGCCAAGGTCTCCCTTATCAATAGTTACAGCTCTGGTGGATAAAATCAGTAAGTGGCAATTTGGTCAGTAGAAATGGTTTCATCTGTTTGTCTTACTCTTTCAGCAGCTACTGCCTTCCCATGGTTGTTACTGAGGATACCTTCTTCCCTCTCCTGTTTAGTTCACTTCATCTTGTTTTGGCTTTGAACTCTGAGTGCTGTGGCTTTTGTTGAAGGGAGGAGAGAAGAGGGTTTTGTAGATGCTTTTCAACATTTCATATTTCCCTTCAACTTTCACGCTTCCTGTACTGCTGTGTTTGGTTTTATTTTGGCACGTGAGTTTCTTAGCTTCGTTATTGAACAGTGTTTGTTCTGGTGGAGTTGGACCTTGCCTGTGTGACGTGTTCTGCTGAACACCTCCGTGGGTCTGCCATCCGTCTGCCACCCGTATGCCTTCTTCCTCCTTCTGTTCTGGCTTTACAAGTCTGATAAGGCAGAAACTGCAGGCTAGCAGTGTGGTCCCTTACAACAACTGTCTTTTCTGTGTTGTCTTTGCGTGTGTTGCCACTTGCAGGACACAAAAAGGTCTTAGAGAATCCAGTCTTTCTATTATTAGATGTGAGTGATCTGTCTCCAGTAACCTCTAATGTTTGTCTTGTAGATTTGTGCAAAAGGATTATATATCCAGACTGTGACATCAAATTCACAGGCAGTGTTTCTTGGGTTGGGAGGACCTCAATGGAAGTGAAGATGCACATGCTGCAGGTTAGTTCCTGTGACTTCTCTCCATCTTATGACAAGCATGAGGTGCTTCAGGGGGAATTCTGGATGATGACGTTAGCAATCTAAGTTATATTTTCTAGAATAACTGTTTTTGAAGGGCTTGAGACAGCCCTAGTGTTTCAAGACCAAGATGACTTCCAATAGTCTGTTGCTAATCTTTCTTTCAAGACATGCATTTTTCTTAACCAGCATTTTGTAATTAAACTGCAATGCAGTATTCCTACAGAAAAAATAGGTGGCTGTGCTCTGCGCATTCCTAAATAAGTTTCACCCTCCTTTTGAAAAACTTTATTTTCTTTATACTTTTGCATTTTATAGATTTATAAATTTTAATGTTGGTATTCAGATTCAGTATTAAATTGTATCCCTTGTGTTCATCTTATCTACTGTGTAGCATAATTTTTGTAATAAGTTATTAAATACTAAATAATAGAAAATAAATTAAATGAAGGGTGTAACTAGGCTACACTGTGCAGGAAGCAAAAGGAATATTAATAATTCAGTTAAAAATCCTTAACATTTCTATCGAATGTTTACTGTCAATTCATTAGTTAACTGAAACGTTAATTCGGTTATTTAATTATTTAGAGTAACAAAGATATGCTATAAACACTGAAGTGGTATTAGTGGCTATAATTCAGATAAACAGGTAAGTATTTTTTTTATTCAGTTGGTCTCCTTAAGTAAAGTCTCTGATGTAGAAGATAATGTTACACCTTTGTCTGAACTCCTCGCAGTGCTGGCAATTAGTGGCAATTTGATATTGACAAAAAAACGTTGTATTGGCATTTCTCAGAATAAAGGGTAAGTGGGTCCTTTTACAATGCCTGTGCTGATTTCCTCCCCTCCCACCTGAAAGTAGTAGTTAAGAAGCATTCCCTGCTTAATGTTTACATTGCAGAATTCCTGAAGCTAGAGTTTTAATTTGTGTTATTTCCTTCTCTTCGACCTGTTGTGAGAGATCTTGGAAGGGATGATGGAACGCGAAAGCAAACGACATTAGCAGTGTGACGGCATAGTTGATGTCAACTGAATAGCCTGCTAAGCACGTTTACAATTTTAGAGTTTAAAAATATAATTGTTTCCTCTCTCTCTTAGCTACATGATGGTGATTACAGCCCTGTGTTAGATGCAACCTTTGTCATGGTGGCCCGGGATCCAGAGAATAAACGGTAATTTGTAGGACAGGAAAATAGTTTGCAGACTCCTGCTGTGGTGAAAATAGCAAACACGGCAGCTTGCTATGTGTGTGTAGAAGCCATATAGCGTAGGTGTTAAATAAATGACATAGTCAATGTTTTCTGCTGGCAAGTTTTACTTTCCTGCGGCAAGCTTCAGAGCACTGGTTTCAGCAGTCAGATGATACCGGGAATTGCTGTTAGTCTTGGGATCTGACCCTTTTCTTTAACGGATTTTCCCTGTGTTTGAATGACTGGCCTGATGAACACAGAAGTGAATGAGTCTGCTAGAAACCCACTGGCATTGTAGTACTTGTTAGAATTAATTGCCTTCTTGCCATAAAAACGGAAAAGATTGAGTTTCGACAGTTAAATAGTCTTTGAGTGAACAATGTCATTAATTCCCTAATAGACACATGGAAGTGTCATCAGAATAACTCAGCCTAAAACTTGGTTATGTAAGTAACATGGAACTGATAAGTATTCCCACAGAACTTAAAAAAAAAAAAACCCAACTCTTATTTTTCTGGTTTTACTCTCTGTAATTCCTCAGTTGTTAAACTAACAGGCTGCTCAGTTTCAGTTTTGGTTTGACTCCAGCACCAGAAAAATCCGTTGTATTTCTTGCCTCTTTCTTGTATAGCCTGCAAAAGTAATAAACAATTTTCTGTTTCTAACTAGTTTAAATAATTGCCTGCATTTAATGAAGGGGTTTTGCTTGACTTAATTATTTAGTCCTGATAATGTTAGAAGTAGTTATTAGGTTGGTTTCCTTCAGATTTATGAGATTTTTTTAGAACCCATTAACATACTAAACACTTAAAAACCCCTTGTATTTATGGTTCCCATTTTAAGGACTTATTTTGCAAAAGAATTACATCAAATCTGATGTAATTGTACACTGGCAGATTGACTGAGGACAAGCCTACATGGACTTGTGCAGATAGATACAAACTTCAGTGGCTGTTCTTCAGGCCAGCTGGCCAGAAGCCAGCTGTGTTTCAGAAGCATTCCGTCCATATAAGGAAGGTATTTATTCTATGTGAGGTAAAAAGCTTTCAGAGTGGTGCAGGGTATGTTAGGTTGGTTATAGTGCCACAGAAACATGGTTGTGTGGCTTTTGGACCATAGCAAACTTGCATCTCAGCAGCCTGGGGCTCGGACAGGAGAGCTGATGTAGATGTGTCCTGAGCTGAGGAGGGGGAGAATGAGTTGGTGCGTCTCCAAAATCCAGAGCTTTAGCAAACCAGGAAAGAGCAGTTTGTTCCAAGCGAAAAGGTCCTCTCTGCATGCCTCTTGTCACCAGCCCAAGTAAAGGCTTGGGGTAGAGGTGAACTGTTCAGCAAAAATAATAATTGGAAAAATAATAATTGGAAATTACAGGGAAGAATGGCTCTGGAAAATAAGCATTTGCCTTGCCTTGTGAAAAGAAATAATTAAATGTTCTGTAATTAGGTTAAACTTATTTGTGCAGTAAAATAAACACAAATTTGTACTCAAGGCAGCCTCATATCATCTTCTTTGATAAGTAGTACATGTGGTAAACAGCTTTTGGCTGTTGATAAGGCTGTCATGGGAACGTGTAGATTATAAGAACACTTGCTAGCTACGGCACTGTGCTCTTTCTATTCCAGGAGGAATGATACCGTTCAGTTTTTGTGTGTCTCTTTTAGACTATCCTAGATCATCACATCTTCATTTGCTGAGTTTCTAAGCAGCTTTCTACTCCCATAAACTTCATTATAATCTGTGGGTACAGTTTTAGCTCTTTAAGAAGCATAGACTTTAAGAAGCATTGCTTGCTCTTTCTCAGTTATACTGGATAGTGGTTGGATCACGTAACTGCTTCTTCAGAGTTAAAGCTAATATGATATTCTCTTGGCAGCTGCCACGTAACCTGAAGTGTATGTCTTTTCATCTTGTAATGTGTATGTAAGCAAACATGGAAGACTGTTATAACGTATTCACGGGACAAATTCTTATAATGTTTGTAACTTAAAAAAAATTCCTGTCCATAGGCCAGCGTTCGTTAATCCAGTCGTTCCTGAGACGCCTGAGGAAGAAGAAATCTTCAAGCAAGGGGAATGTATGTCATACTTCCTGGTAGTATGCACATCTGCCTCAGGTTCAACTTAGTAGCTGGAAGGAAGTAGACTTCAGAAGTTCAGCTGTTTAGAAATGCTCCTAATTTGTTTAAAATCAGGTTTACGTTCCGTCTCGTGTGTCAGTAGTATAAGAGAGTTTAAAAGCCTGCTGTCACATTCTTGGAAATGCTTTGGCTAAACTGACAGATAAGGGCACTCCTGATGTGCTCTGCACCCCGCCTAGACTTCTCTGTTTCCAGGGTGCTCCCTCCACTTCAGACCTGAGTGCAGCACAGGCTTTCCTAATGCTCTGGCTGATTGATTGCCCCCATGGTGGCTCTGCTGCGTGCATCACAGCTCCTTACCTGTCTGGGTGCCCATGTTCCTTTTGGAAAGAAACTCGGAAAAAGAAGGGGGGAGAGCAGGGGAAGGAGCGTGTAGCTCTGTCTTCTTTTGTTTCAAGCTGGAGTTTTAAAGCAGAGAATTAGGGAAACATTAAAGACTGAATAAACTGAACAGAAGATCTTTTAAGCTAAAATTTCAATCATTGTGGCCTATGGTAATGAGCTCTATCGTAAATTTGCATTCTTGTACCATTGGCAAAACCTGAAGAAGATTGTTTGTTCTGTAGGGTTTCTTGTTTGATATGTTTTCTGTACTTTCAGGGGAGTACTTAAGTTTTCTGTAGGAGTGGTGGGTGAGTATCATAGTATACGTATAAAAGGTCTTCACCACATTGGTGAGGTAACAGTGAACTTCTGCCTTATTTTTCCTTTGATGCAGTCAATTCTGAAATCCAAATTTCTGTTTGAATCTGTGGGATTGTGAAGTTACAGCTTTTAACTTACAGGGGGGAAAAGAAAAAAGGAGACAGCTGATTCCAGGTTAAAATCTTCAGAGCCAAGCCAAATTTTTCTTTGAACTCTAATATGATTTTTTTTTTTTAATGTTTAGTGAACAAGCTGAAGAGGGTTGATTTCAGCACTGCTTCCTTACTGAAAATGGCTCCCACTGCAGAAGAAAGAAACATTGTTCATGACATATTCCTTAATACGTTGGACACAAGGCAAGAAGGGGAGGGGTGGAGGAGAGCTGAAGTCTTATGAGAGAGAGAAGTAATGTGCCTTTTGAGTGGGTGCTTGTAAGAGGGTAGTCTGGAATAAATGCACACATTTTGTTTTCCCATTTCACCATTTAAATTCTGTGGCATTTTATTTGAAACACAGGTAATGTGTGTAAAAACACTTTAATGTGACATATGCATCTCTTAAAAGAGTCTTCCGTCGTTAAGGAGTGTTAGCTATGCCAAGGTGGTGATAGTGGCAGTGTAAGCACAAAGAGCTTCTGAGCAAGCTGTTAGGAGTAATCTTGAGGAAAAAGGTTGATGATGTTTAACCAAATAAGGGAATGGAAGGGTTTTGCAGCTGTGTGACTTGCACAATCTAAGAGTTTTCTGCCATGATGTCTAGGAAAAAACTGAGGGCAGGAATTGGCCATATTTTGACCAGGTAACCTTGCAATGTGTTTTAAATATAATACCTGACAGCATTATTTGAGGGAGACTGTTGTTGGCGTACTTCTCTTATACTTGAGATTTGTGTGAAATTGTCCGGTGCCAATGGTGATAGAACAATGCCTAATGACGTTAGTGCAGTGTTGTATTTGTGGATAATTTATAATTTCTTTAACTTACTAACATTATACAATTGTTATTTTCAAAGCTGTTTACCAAAGTGCGACATGCTTTTCCTTAAAATTAGCAGATGTATTTTGTACACATTCTGTCTGGATTTGAAAACCTCAAACCGTCTGCATGTTTGATGTTGAATTACTCTGTTAGCTCATCGTGTGCTTTTAATTCATATTATGACTTAAAAAACAGAGTAAGGCTATTCTGACAAAGTGTGTGCTTTGTGGTTGTGATTCATCTTTTCTTTCATGTACCTTTCTCAAGCTTGTTCATTCACATAAGCTTGAACATTAGCAGAAGTTTTTGGAAGATCAGGAGCGTAGGCTTATTGCAGTAACAAATCAAAGTACCACTTTAGATAAGGCTTCAAGGTCAGTTGGAACAGCTTTTAGTGATAGCATTTCTGGGTTTTGGGGATTTTTTGGTGGTGGTGGTTTTTTTTTTTTTTAGTGTGTGTCTGCATTTGCTATTTGTGCATTTTTGACTTGCTGAATTCTGCTAATGTGGGCTGTAAAGTTTATTGTCTCTTCCAAAGGACAGTAAGTTTCCGGAGTCGTAAATTGCCACCCAATTCAGTGTGGATGGAAGATGCAAAGCTAAAAGGCCTACAGATTTGCCATCCTCAGGTATTTTGAAAAATATTAATGAATTACAGAAACAGTTACTTATGAATTGTCTTGTAAGACTAGTCAATCCATTATTTTGTTTCAGTTCTGCAGTCCTTGCAATGTGTTTAGATCTCAGTTTCTTTTGCCATTTTCCTATTATCTGTATGAATTGCCGTTTCAAAATAGAAGATTTTAAATTACTTTGTTTTCTTACCAGACTATTCATTTTGTGTAAAGAAATTCCTTTGCAAAGTGTTTAAGTTGGGCTTCTGGTTGCTGACGCAATTTTTAGTTTTTATCTTCTGTTGTCCAATGAGTCGGATGAGCTCCTATTAAGTAAAGTTGCTTCAGCCATTTGGACTTTTGCATATATATTTCAGTAGTGCTTTTTCCAGCATTCAGATGCTGGAAGTTCTGTTAAAAACTGTGAACTGAACTGCAGACTTCAACACAATGCTTTGAAAAGACTATGTGTAATGTAGCAGTTTGATTTTTTGTTTCTACATACAGGAGCGGAACATCTTCAATAGGATCTTTGGGGGTTTTCTCATGAGAAAGGCATTTGAACTGGGATGGGCAACTGCTTGCAGCTATGGGTGAGCTGAAGACCTGCAATATTTATATAATCCAGAGCACTGTGCCCATATATATATGTCGGGAAGCCACGCTAACCAACCTAATGACAATCTGAGTAGAAAAGACCTAGGTGTCTAGTAGAATCTTGCACTATTAGTGCACAGCACTACGTTCCTTAGAGCATCTGTTGTATTTACGAAGAAATTTGCATCTTGCTCCTTGGAGCTGGGTTTTTAAGCATTACATGTCAAGATAGAAAACACATCCTTTTTCTGTTTTCTTTTATCTTGCCAAGCTATTGAGATTGACTTTTGAAGATACGTTTTCTTTCTAACCATATAAAATAGACATTCTATCAAATCAATATTACATCTTTTCATTCCGTACACAAGAGGAATGGTTTCTGAACAACTTCTGGTAACTGCTTGTGCTTAGAAAATGTGACTGAGGTCATCACCCAGCAAAGATCTATGCGTAAGTTTAATGGAGCATGCACAGCCTGATAGAAAGTGAAGTATTTTATGTCAGTGTTTGGAAAACTGAGGCCTAAGCAATGATGGCATGAAGATTGCCTAGCAAGTGTAAGTCATAAGATACAATAATGATGCAATAATGTATCCTTAGAGAACGTGTATTTTTATGCGTGTGAGAGGTTTCCTCCAGTTATTTTTGTCTTGGGTGATGACATAATTCTTTAGCACTTCCTGTGGCCTGTGTTTAAGAGAGAGATCTATTTTCTAGTAACGCTTCATTAAAGGGCTGACAATGAAATATTTTAAATTTCTCCAAACACCCTTGTTATTCTTGAGAAGAAATTTCTCTTTTTCTTGCTCAGGGGTTCCAGACCTTTTATCGTATCCGTTGACGATATCATGTTTCAGAGGCCAGTTGAGGTTGGATCCTTATTACTGCTTTCTGGACAGGTAGGAGTTGATTTCTTGTTGAAAAGGAGAAAAACTTATCTTTGTTGTAGTCACTGTTAATCACTGGTAATGAACAGTGCATTATGCGAGCGTGTGACTTTTCTTGTTAAACAGTGCAATGAAGTCTGTTACAGTTTTTCAACGCCAGTGATAAATTATGAACTATAACTCTTACCTTAATGTGTAGGTCTGTTACACAGAAAAAAACTACATCCAGGTTCGAGTACACAGTGAGGTTTATGATGCAGATACCAGGGAGCACCAGACAACCAATATCTTCCATTTTACATTTATATCAGAAAATGAGGTCCCACGGGTTGTCCCCAAAACTTACGGAGGCAAGTATCCAATTAATGCATTGTCATCATAACTCTGTAGACAAGATGGCTTTGGTTGGAACGTTGGTCATTTTAGTAGGTGAACTATTGGCATTTGAAGAATTTAACAGGATTTCATGGCAAACCACATTTATTTTATGCTTTGGCTGTGTGGATTGCTTCTTAATCTTACCGTTCTGTGTAGTTGCCCAGTATTGATACTAAGTTACTAACGTGGTTCTCTCTTTTCTCCACCTTATTTCAGAATCCATGTTGTATTTAGATGGGAAGCGACACTTTGCTGCAGTCATGAGAGAAATCTGACACGCACTGAATGCTGCGTCAGCAGCGTAGCAGCACGCTGTCTTGGAAAGAGTTGTCACCAGACATGGCTAACAGACAGGTGCTTGCAATACTAAAAAGCACCCACCCCAAAACAAAACAAAACCCCAGACCAAACCCAGACCCCGCAACAAAAAATACGTTATTAGTGCTATTTATGTATTTGCATGTATTTGGATTTTTTGTTCTCTGCTACTAGGATTTGTTGAAATCTACTTTTACATGCTGATGCTAGGAAAAAAGGCTGAAAAAATACAGTCTTAAGCTTTAGATCGCTTCTCTCTGTCTGCTTTGAGAGATCTCATTACGACCTTTGCTGTCTTGTCACCATCTGCCTTCTTTCCCTTAGTAGCTCTCCTTTGTGTTTCCCTGATAAGGGATAGAAGTTCTACCAGAAAAATATGTGCAATAAGTAGATACACACAGACGAAGCCATTTGACCTACATTCTTGTGTAAATTAGGTTTAGGGTCTTATTTTTTTTTTTAATGAGGACACATGCATCTGGGCAGCAGCATAAGCTCAGAAGTTACTAGGGTGTGCACAACGTAAAGCAGGTGTTTCCCATCAGCTGGGATTTTACAGGGTTGTTGCAGCTCCTGTTGTGGATGGTTTCATGTTCCCTTGGCAGGAAACTGATTATTGCAATGAGATGAGGTGGCCAGATGGTCTCTTCTGGCATTCTGTTTGCGTACAGCCAGTCCTTGCCAGCCTCTTCTGATTTTTTTTTTTTTTTTTTAAGATATAGCTGTAAGTGAGTTCCTTAATGAATTATTTCTCATGGCCTGTAGAGTAGAGATCTGATTGGTGAGATCGAGTGGGACTGGGAAATGGCGTTTTAGAGCAGAACGTTTTGGTTTGTTAGGGCGTGGGAGCAGGAAAGGTAAAATGCTGCCAAAATGGTAATGGTTATGTTTGATGCTGGACTTAGGGGTCTAGAGAATCTGTCTTGACCAGCTCCCAAGTCAGCTGCTGAATGGTGGGAGGATTTTTATCCCACTGGGGGGTGGTACAGCTAGAGCACAGTCTCCTCAGCTGGATTATTTCTCTGGTTCCTTGGTAAGGCTGTAATGAAATGAGTATTGCACAGCTTTAAAGGTTGTCAAATTTACCTGTAAAGGACAGAGTAATTCCCCACCACGGAGGGGACACCAAGGTGGACATAACTATGGCATATAAGTAACAGGAAGAAAGTACTTGATACTGAAGTGCTTCTGATGTAGTGGAGAAAGTTTTAATAGTCTCCGATATCGGGCAGATAAAGCCCAACATCCTGAAATTAGGAAGGTGAGCGGATGGGAGGCATCAGCTTTTAGCAGTGAGGATGATTAGTCACAGGCACAAAATTGGACCTCTGATACCTTCAAATCAAGACTGATACCCTGTCTGATCAAGACACCCAAAGAGGAGTAGTTGGGCCCAATGGTAGGTTAAATGGATGAAATATGATGTCTTATATGATACACGAGAATAGACTCCAGCTTCCCTGCTAGGTTTAAAATCTTTTGAAATCAGGAAGCAGCAAGTAGAAATGATGTGATTCGGCACAGTTGCATGAAACAAGTTGATAAAATAAAGCAGCACGTCGAAATTTTATTTCTGAGTAAGAGAGTTTGAGAAATTCACAATGAGGACCAGGTTCCTTTGGTGCTAGGATAGCATGAAGTCCGTGGCTCCTGACAGCTGACTGCTGTTCATGTCAGGAGAGCGAGCATTGTAATAACCAGCACGTTACACACCAGCCTTTCCTTTCTAGGATTTGGCTGCCTGTATTTCTAAGTTAGATCGCTTTCCAGTGGAGGCACAGGGGTGTTGCCTGATCCGGATCAGATTGATGCGTGGCAGTGACACTAAGCTCTTGGTTCCTTACATAGAGTTTCTCTCTTCAGCCACGCTTCAGTGCTGATTCAGCTGTATGATGTTATAATCTTTTTCTTTAATGGTTATGACACTGTGGATATGTATTGTATTTTCTGTTTTTCTCCTTTTTAAAACTCCTTAGAAACTGAATATACTTGACTGACCACACAAATAAAGAACTGAAATTCTGTCCCAGCTCCTTCCCCCCTCGCTGCACGGATCACTATTGGCTATTAAAAAATCAGTAAGAAGGCAGGAAGTGGAGGGATCTATTTCAGAACTATGTATTACTCCTGACTACCTGCAGGTTTTTATCATTGACCCGGTGGTCCTACCTGGGCCACTTTTGTATAACATTAGTAAGTTAAGGGGGTACCAAGTTCTTCCTCTACTGCCTTTTCAGCTGTATTTAAGTTGAATTTATCATAACTTCTAAATTCAGCCTTCGGGAAGGGATTGGAGAGCAGAAAAAGAGGTAATAGAGTAGGGAGCAAAGTGTGACATCAAAACCTCTGGACACAGCGAAGAAAATGAATCCCACAAATGAAGATGCTTAGAAGAAATGGTGTGTTTTCAAAGTTCATAACTTAATCATGTACCGCAATCACAGTAGTTATAGAAATGTACGTACAGTCATACAGAATGTGTGTGTGTATATATATACATATGTAACAATATAAAACATATATAGTAATAAAGAGAAAGACACAGAATATGTGCTCGCATATTTTTTTACTCGGAGAAGGTAACTCCAAATTGTCGCCCTCTCTGATAATAGGCTAAATGTATCTTCGTTCAAGATATATGCACGTCGCTGTGTACCTTTGTGTGCGAGATAAAATTGTTCTCAGATCTCAGACTCAGAATTAAAATATTTTAACATAGTAATTAATGTTGAGTTTATATTGCAACTTAATGACCAACCTGTCACTGCTGTAAGTGACTAACCATTACCGCACAAGCCTAAAGGTGTTGGTAGAAAGTCCTTTTATTTATAGCGAACCTATCTCTGTAATTGGCAGTGGCTCTGTAGTGGGAAGTAAATGTTTCTGTGCCCATCGCATCTTGGAGTACAGCGAGGAGGAGAAAGTCTGTGGCAGCTGGATTGCCTCCCCTAACCCTCTCGGTAGTTACTAGTGATATAAAAGGAGATTTCTGTGGGACGGGCTGAGCTCAGTGCCTGAAAAAGCGCTTTCTTTTAAATGTTTTTATTTTTCTGTGTTTAAAAAAAAAAAAATTACTCAAACTTACTGTAACAGCTTCTGGTAGCCCTTCTTAAATATGCACGATTCCTTTGCAGCCATGTCGTGGTGTACAGCATCCTGGGAAGAAGCTTGCTGGAGCTGGTACAGCATGGGCCACTGAGTGAGGGTACAGTTCAGAAACGTGCTCTAAACTTTCTGCGTGCTTAATTGGTTTTACTGCACGTTCAGTCCAGCCTTTGTCCGGTGACGGGTTTGTTTGATTGCTGGTCCTCCTCTGAATGCGTTTTTAACTAGGTGTGGGAGAGATTATTTCTTCACGGGCTAGGCACTAGCTAACAGGAAAACAAAAGGGTAAATATTCAGCTTTCGTGAAAGAGAAACTGGAGACTGCTTTTGTGGAAGGTGTAGTTGGATGACGATACCTGCATAGAAAATACACTGGAGCACTTGCCCTGACAGGAGGGGATCCTTGTCCCTGCAGGCCTCCTATCCACGAGGCTGCAGGCGCTTCTGGGCATTGGCTGCTCCTTACTCTTGTCTTCTGTTACCTAGCAGAAATGGGAGGCTTCTGGAGGAGGGGAGCGTGGCTCTGGGGGACTGGTGCTTGGGGCACTCAGAAAGGCCAGTGGTAGGGGTTCTGGTCCCTGCTCACAGCGTCGCTTCTTTACTTTACCTGGTAACTGTTCAGCAGAAAATTCAGGTGCAGTCCCGCAGCAGGGGCCAGTCCCCCGGGTCCTTTGTGTTGGCCAGGCTGGTGGGGAGCCTACGAGGGGGTCATCTCCAGAATTAAATGCTGCTAAAAGCGAGTTTCTTCTTCCAGGCGTCGCAAGTAGGCTAGTGCCTGGGCTCTGCACCGCAGGAGAGGCAGGGCTGGCTGCCTTGGGAGGCAGAACTTTTTCAGAGCATCCGGGGGCGGTGGGGCAGCATCTGCGGGTGTTGTTCAGTGAGGTAGGCTTGCTGGAGTACCCGTCCCAAAGGCGGTGATGGTGGGGTTGTCACGGAAGTTCCTACCGCAGCTAAATCTTTTCTGCTTGGAGAGTTGGCTTGCACCTGCAGACCTCACTGGTGTATAAAGTTTCTCTTTAACCGTTGAGATAGCGGTCAAGGCGAGTGAGAGGCTTGCCTGAAACAGCAGTGGAAGTTGAAGGCAGAGCGTCTCATTCCTAGTTATTACTTGCTTTGCAGGAACTCTTTGCTTTTTCTGTTGAAAAGACAAGTTCACAGTGGCAGTTCTGTGCATCTGCGTTTCATGCACTTCCAAGAGAGGCCCATGAATACATCCCAGGGTTTGGGAAGCAGAGCTGTGTGAGATTTAATTCTTCCCCTATTTCAAACCTCAGGTGAAGAGTACTGGAAGAACAGACCACTGTGTCGTTCGTTCGGTTCCTGTTTTGTGAGAGACCATTGCAGGTGGCACTGCCCAGTCTACCTGAATTCCTCTGAGGTTGCCATGATGTGGATCACCGTTTTCAAACCGGCAGCTGGAAATCAGGTTCTTAGACTCTGCGCCAACATTTGAAAGGGTCATATTTCAAGCAGTGCTAAGGATGTCCATCGCAATGTGGACTTCAGTGAAGTTTGCTGGTGGATCTTCCTCCTTTCAGAAGATGATGTCACTTTTTATTTGTTGCCTAAAAAATAATTAGGATTTTAATTTTTGTCCTGCTTGTGCTTATCTGAAGATTTTGCTCCTACACCTGTGCATAAGACGTTTCCAGGTATGCCAACAAGGCCATGGCAATCCCTAATCCAAGCACTAGGCAAGAATTAGTGACGTGCATGTGGAAGAGGAGTGGGTTTCTGTACTGCCTCAGCACTTCTTTGTCACTAAGGAGTCGGAATCAACTTCAGCTGTTTAATTGAAGCTGCCTATATTTTATCTTCGTCAACTGCAAACCATACGTGATACTAAAGTACTCCAGTGTTGCTTAGTCTCCCAGTAACTGTCCTTCAGCTCAGACATATTTTATATGTACTTAATATAAGAGGCAGACTTTGAGACCAGAGCTAGGCAGCAGTCTGTTAATCAAAACACAGAAGGGCAAAGCAAACCTTTTAAATCCTTTGCCTGCTGGATAACCCTATCTGAGATACTGGTACTACTAGACTCTGATTTTGAAATTAATTTTTTCTTGATGGTTTTGCTGGAAGATCTCAAACCCTCCACATGCTGATTATATAATAGAAAGAATTAAACAGCCACGTGGGCCTCTGAAATAGCTATCACAGCACCATCCTTAAAGTTGCGTTATCAATTCATTGCTATTTCACTGCGTTTATCAGGTGTATATATAGTATGTGTACGAAGGTCAGAGAGCATGATTCTTCTAGGAAACATCCGTTCAGAATAGGGCCTTGTACTTTCAAGAGCTTTATTTGCTCTGTTCATGTATCGTTAGTTTCTAGTCCTGCTTTCTGTCACTCCTTCCTCGACTTCTCCCTGCAGCCGGGGGAACAACCAGCCAGGGAAGCTGTAGGGCTGCTCATCAGGCTGTTGTATGATGGAGGGTAGTACAAAAATCAGCTGATGACATTAAATGGTACACGTTATCCCAAGGCATGCTGAAAACAAGTTCTCGATAGTAGAGCAAGAGGACGGCAGTAGCTTTAGTAGGTAGCGATAAGCCAGATCCTCAGCTTGCCATTTGTCTTGCACATCTGCAAACCCTTATGATCCCAAACCCACAGACTTCGGTGTTTCTCCCTCCTCGCCCCCCGCCGAGTTTCCGATGTTACTCTTCTATTCAGGGATCTCATCTTCTGTCCTTCGGTTTCCCTTTTTCCTGGAGGCGGTGTGTAACTGAGGATCTGCCTTTGTCTCCTGCCCCCCCCCAATCTCTCACTTCTCCCCCTCAAACACCAGCACTTTTGCATTTTTTTGCCCAGTCTTTTCCTTCCAGCATATCCGAATCTCTGTGAAACACTATTCTCTCTTTCCATAGAAATAATCTTTCATTTCAAATATGTAATGTGACATAGCGACTCAGGTCTTTGCTTAAGGACTATTTCCCTAAGACTTTTTATTCCTATTGAATTGCTTTTAAAAAGAAGTAATTCCTTAGCCCGTTCCTTACCACATGTGTTTAGAAGGCTGGGGCCTTCAAATTTGGCACGGCTACACTGCTGTGGACCTAAATCTGCAATGTTCAAAGTGTGCAGATGGCCTCAGTTTTCTTCGGTCAGTAAGTGTTGCAGTCCTGTTTTCTTTTCTCGGCTCAGCTTTCGACATCTGCTTTTGTTTGATGCTGTTGCTGCTGTATGTGCTACAGCGATACAACCTGTGGTTTTGTTGCTGCAACTCGCTACTCGCCTGGCTCCGCCTGGAGCCGTGGGCTGGATGGAGCGTGTTCAACGCGCGGGTGATAACTCATCTCTGTCTTTATCATTTGCTGGCTTAGTGCCACAGAGGTTTTTGCTGCTGGGAGAGCTTTAGGTGTGAAGGAGAGCGACCCGGCTGGAGAGGCAGGCAAAGCCGCTGCAGAAGAGGGCACAAGCACTATTTCTAAGGCAGACACGAGTGTTAGGTTTGGTTTGTGCCTCGGGCTGCTTATGAATATCCATGTAATAGCTGGGCCTGCATTCGTCACGCTGCGGTTGCTTGGAGTTACTTGAATGTTCTCTGTGTTGATGATGTTTTTGGTGTTTCAGGGTTGATACAGGCTGTAAACAAGATGCCGAGTGAAATTCAAGCGGCTGATTTGCAGCCTAGTAATGTGAGAAACCGCCTCTCTACATGCTGCCCTCTGGTCTGAGATCACGTGGGCTGGAGCAGCACATTGCCAGCCTTTGGCGCTTGGCGTCGGTCCCGCTGTGCCTCCATTACCCTCTGGATGGGATCAGGAGCTCCTCCTTTCCCCAGGCCTCGCAGGGATGGGGCAGGAGGGGGGCTGGGGCTCGGTGGAGCTCTGCTTGCTCCGGCCACGGTTCCCTCTGCCCTAGGCACGCACTTAGGTGTTACTTCTATCAGAGCTGAAGCAAAAGTCAAGCAG